CAGCGCTGCTGCTTGTTACAAAATGAAAGGCTGGTCCTTCATTTGTAGATAAACAGTTAAAAAACCCCAGTCGATCCCAAAGTTCAAAAGCTTCAGCAGGGCTCTGGCATCTTTTGATTGGAGGGGGAAAAAAGGAGAAAAAGCATTATCTGGGGTCCCTGAAGAGCACAGGGTCTGAGCTAGGCCAGGAACCTCACAGAAAGAGCCTTTGTCCACAGTGCTTGCCTTGCTGCTAAGGCACAGCATATCGGCCAGGACGGGAGAAACCATAAACCCAGGGGCGATTCCTCACGTTACGTGGGATAAATCACACGTGAACATTCATTTCCACAAGGAATTCTCTGACCCCAGTGTAAATAAAGCCTCCACCGATCCCCAGCTCTTCATTCCACCTGTAATAACATCTCTGGCCGTTTCTCCCTTTAAATGAACCCGGGGCTCGCTGAAAGGGCACTATTATGTCCTGGTGGGGCGGTGAGGAGGGTGAGGGAGGCTGGTGGGGCGGGGCTGGGCTGGAGCTGCTGGCAGCCCCTGTGTGCCTGGCAGGGGTTCAGCTGTGCCAAGGCACTGTACATCTCGGACACCGACAAGCGCAAGCACTTCCGCCTGGTCCTGAGGCTCTTCTTCAGCAACGGGCAGGAGATTGGCACCTTCCACAGCAAGCTCATCAAGGTCATCTCCAAGCCCTCGCAGAAGAAGCAGTCACTGAAGAACACGGACCGTGCGTACAGGGGTGGCTCTGTGGGGAGGCAAGCGGGTGCCAGCCCGGGGTGGGATGATCTCTGAGTGCTCACAGCTTGGCTCTGGAGGGTTCCAGGCTCAACCCAAAGCCCATGGGAACTCCCAGTAGAGGATGTAATCTGGACACGCTGACGTCTCCTTACCAAATGGCTCAGCCACCACAGTGTGTAATGCCCCGTTCCCAACGTGCTCCCCACATTGTGACCTCACCTGCCCTCGTGCACAGAGAAAGGCAGTGGGGAGGGTGCTGGGTACCCCAGGAACCAGGGCTTGTCCTCCCTTGGCTTGGCAGAGGCATCAGACCTGACAAGTACTCACCCAGACACCTCTCCCCACAGTCTGCATCTCCTCAGGCTCCAAAGTCTCTCTCTTCAACCGCCTGCGCTCCCAGACCGTCAGCACCCGGTACCTGTCTGTGGAGGGGGGAGCCTTCATCGCCAGTGCCAGGCAGTGGGCAGCCTTCACCCTCCACCTGGGTGAGGACTCCGGGGGCCACTGATGCCCACCATGCCCAGGGCTGCCCATCTCCAGCCCTGGCTCCCTCCTCTTGCAATTCCAGTTCCTGGGGGAAAAAGGGGTGGGAATTATTAGCCTGGGGATGTGGGAACCTGGCTCAGTCTGACCTCTGCCCGGTGCTCCTGGTGTGACTCTGGAACCGATCCTATTTCCCACCGGCACTGAGGGCAGCAAGAGCTGTACTGATCTGGCATTTCGTAAATCCAAGCCAGTAACTTGCCTGGAAGAGGCCAGAGCCCATCAGCATCCCTGCCCGCACTGCCTCCAGCGGTGTCCCTGCGAGGTACCGCTCTCCCATGCCGTGCTCCCAGGGAGCACTGGTCTCTCCGAGCAGTGAGGAAGCACTGGGAGCACAGCCGGGCTGTGCAGCCCAGGTTAACCTGCTCCCTGGCTGATCGGGGCACTGACTCTGCCTCTCTCTCCCGGCCAGCCGATGAGTGCTGCCCCCGGAGCGAGTTCCCCCTGCGGGAAGGGTATATCCGCTACGGCTCCGTGGTCCAGCTGGTCTGCACGGCCACCGGTGTGACGCTGCCGCCCCTGGTAAGCCTCCCCCCCTGCGGGCACACGGCCCGGGCCGCTCCGTGGCTCCGAGGGACGGGTGCCATGGCCGGGACGATGCCGCCCGCAGATCATCCGGAAGGTGATGAAGCAGTATGCCATGCTGGACGTGGACGAGCCCATCTCCCAGCTCCACAAGTGTGCCTTCCAGTTCCAAGGCAGCGACCACATGTACCTGTGTCTCTCCACAGAGAAAGTTATCCAGTTCCAGGTATGGCACTGCAGGAGGGGCGAGGGCCCCCAGGGTGCTTTCCAAGGTTCTCTGTGTTGCTTCTGGCTGGGGAACATCCAAATTAGGGTCAGAAGCACTGCAAAGCCACCTGCCTGCTTTGGTGGGGCCATCATCACTGCAGAGGCACCACGATCCCCATTTCCCAGCGAGCGAAGCAGTCGCTCGCTGGAACCGAGACACTGGGGGCAGAAACCAGGCCCCCCCAGTCCCTGCTGTCCACACTGCAGTGTGTTGGGAGCTGTGACTCTCCGCAGGCATCTCCCTGCCCGAAGGAATCCAACCGGGAGCTGCTGAACGACGGCTCGTGCTGGACCATCATCAGCACGGAGACGGTGGAATACACCTTCAGCGAGAGCCTGGGCTGCGTCCGCGAGCCCGTCAGCCCCGTGCCCCTCATCGCTGCCCTGCAGGTGGGCACGGCTGCCCCCTCCTCTCTGTCCCCTGCCTGTGTAGAGCTCCTGCTCCTGAGCCCTTGCACCCCTGCTTGGCATCTCCCGGTTCTGGGATGCTGCGGGACTACCCGGGAATGCCGCAGCAGGGTTGGGATGAGCAGGCAGAGCATCCTGTGGGAGAAGGGGTCTGGCTCATTCCATGCACAACACACTGACACACGCTCTGCCCACCACAGCTCACGGGCGGCGGGGACGTGGCCATGCTGGAGGTGCAGGGGGAGTATTTCCACGCACACCTCAAGGTCTGGTTCGGAGATGTGGAAGCAGAGACGATGTACAGGTAACACGGCTCAGGGAGCAGGCAGGGAACAGGCTCCACACTGAGCTCCAGGGGGGAGGAGAAGTGCTGGCTCACTGCTCGCTGCTCCTGCACGGGACCCTGCTTGGTTAATGCACATTTTCCTCTCCTGCACTGTTCCCAGGAGCCCCAAGTCCCTCGTGTGTGTCGTCCCTGACGTCTCTGCTTTCGGCAGTGACTGGAGGTGGCTGCGATATCCCCTCACTGTCCCACTCCTGCTGATCAGGGATGATGGCCTCATCTACTCCAGCTCGTTCACATTCACCTACACCCCGGAGCAGAGCTGCGTCCCAGGGCAGCAGGTCCTCTCAGACGTCCCCCAAGACTCAGATAAATTACTTGACAGCATCCATCAGGAGTTCACCAGGACCAACTTCCACCTCTTCATGCAGAGCTAGCAAGCTGGGCTGGCAGAGGCTTGGCCTCATCGCTGGCCCAGGGAGGGGGAACAGCCCTGAGCCCTCTTGGGGCACCCCATCCAGGGGGCCGGGGAGAGGCCCTGAGCCCTGCCAGGGTGCCCCATCCTGGGCTTGGGGTGGCCCTGCCAAAGGGTCCTCCCCACTCATCAAACATCCACCATGTCCCTGTGATTTACTGACTTGCCTCTTTGCCACGGCAGGCGCCTCCACCCTGCTGAGATCTCACATGAGAGCATCAATAAATCAGGCTTGAAGGACCCTTTACTGATGCAATTGCTTCTTTACTAACCTGCATGATTTACCTCCATGCTGGCACAGAGCACCACAGCTCCCTCAGTGTCCTCAGTCCATTTTTCAAAGGCCAGGAGGGACAGGGATAATGCACGAACACGACCTTAAGCGTTACTGATCCATACCAGGAATCCCTGCATCGCTGCTGTGCTTTCCATAATGAGGAGCTGCTTCCCAGCAGCCAAATACCCAGTACAAGATGTTTTGGTTTTTTTCATTGGAGGCCCAAATGGGGTTATTTAAGAAGGAAAAGGGAAAAAGAGAAAAAAAAAAAAAACCTGTGAAACCCAGCTCCTCCCTAGCTGGCATGGCTCTGCCGAGCTCTGTTGTTTTACACAGTTAGACACACATAGAAATGCAGTGCTGGCATCAGCAGGAAACTGCTGATCTAGATGCCATAAAAAGCAGCCAGGTTTCTTGGTGCCAGACCCAAATGTTATGCAGAGTGGGTCTTACAGCTTTATTTAGCCTTTAGATCTCTGTGGCATCCAGAGGCCCACGGCCTGGAAACCCGCTGGTCTGGCAGTCCTGAGCTGGGGTTTGAAACAGCCCAACTGCCAACCCACGGTGGTGTTCAACCCACTGACCTCAGGGCAGGGGAGTGGGGGAAGCACAGCACCCCATGACCCACAGCACCCCAGGAGGCTCACAAGGACCATCCCTGGGTGATCACCTGGCTCACCTGCATGTTCTGTGCGATCCAGCAGGTTTCAGATGCAGCACTGCCACGACTGCAGTCCATCCTCAGCCTCCCCGTGTGCACTCCCTGCCACCCTGTGCCTCCAGATGCTGAATTTGGGACTGCAGGGGACGGGAACACAGGAGCTTGGGTCTCCAGCATCCTAAGCCGGGGCTTCCCGAGGGACAGCAGCTCCTTGAACTCCACCAGGACATGGGGTTTCTTCTTCCCCAAAACAGGAACCTCACAGAGGGCAGACAAGCTGTTGGCAGACTGATCTCTGTGCATCTGGAGCTGCTGTGAAAAAACTCTGGGAGAACGTTACAGCACATGCCAACAGCCAAGGGCTGGTGGAGGAAAGGGCTGGAGGACAGAGGAAGGGTAACCATGTGAAGATACACAGGAGTTTAAAAGAAAGAAAGTCCATGACATCCTGGTAAAATGCTTGAGTATCTTATACAGGTGTGGGGGCAGGAGGGGCTTCCCCTGTGTGGCTGCTGCTTGGGCCACCTCACTCTTACTGACCCCTGCACTCACCTCCCCTGCAAATCCACTCCAGCCCTAATGTAACTGAGGGGGAGATGCAAGAAAATACTTCAGTCAACCCAAACAGAGGATCCCCCATATCTCCCCTGAAAGCATTTCCTCCCCCATTTACTGGAAGAGCTGGAAAGGATAGGACCAAACCTGAACCAAACTGAACCAAAGGGCCAGTTTAATGCATCCCACACAGGAGTGTCTGGAGCCCACGGGCTCCTCAGCCTCCTCCCCCCTCTCAGAGGCCAGGGCATAATTCACATTTTATGAATGGAAAGCACCCTCAGCTATATTTAGCAGCAGCCTGGACCCGAAGGGCAGGAGGAGCACTGCCTGTTGACTTCAAGGGCTTGGAACAAGCCTGCCTTGTTATGTTTACAGCACAGTGCTTTGCTAGAGAGGCCAAGAAAGCACCGAGCGGCTCATTCTTGAGGCCTGATGGATTAAGCAAACGGCCACGGTAATTCAAGCCACATGGGGAAAGGGGAGAGGCGGCGGGCAGGAGGGCGGGAGGGGACTCGAGGGGCTCCTGCTTTCCCCCACCAGCCAAGGGCTGCCTTTAATCTGCTTTTCACAGCAGGTCCCAGGGTGGAAACGAGGAGCTTTGCAGCTCCTGGAGGAGACACTTGCCTGCCACGAGGAACATATGCTCCACGTCGCGTGGCAGAGCTGGTAGCGTGGCCGAGCTGTTTATTTGCATAATCACTGATTAACACAAACGTCTCGGACAGGCGCCAGCCCGTTCCACGCTCTCGCTTGCGAGTCGGCAGCGCCCGCCCCTGATGGATCCTACAACAGTCCAGCATGTGTTCAGGAAACTGGGACCGTCCCCCTGGCTCTGCAGAGCTGGGCTGCCTGCAGAGCCCGTCTGGCAGCTCTTGCCTGTGCTCCTGAATTGTACATGGAGCTTTTTCCCTGTCCCCGAGGCAGCCAGAAACATGGGTGTACAAAATCAAGCATGAAAAAACCTTCGCATCTCTCCAAGGGCTGGGGATTTAGGAAAAGCATCACATGCTTCAGGGATGCTCAGGATAACTTCCAGTATGTGCAGGCAGTGGTGTTGCACAATGAGGCTCAAAGGCAAAGGGGATCCCTGCTCTCAGTACCCAGGGTGTAGCTGGGGCTTCCCAGAGCCCCATCACACCAAGGAGCCACTTCAGGTCCTGGCAGTGAGCGTTACCTTCAAAAACATCCCGAAGAAAATAAAAGCCTGGCTTTGCCTCCAGGACACAACACCCCAGAGGAACACCAAGCCCGTTCTGGCTCTGTTTCCCTCCCTGCCCGGGCTGTGTGACACTGAGCTGCCCGTTTGGAAGAAGCTGCTGCCATCTAGTGAGCCCGGCCCGGCCCCAGCACCAGCACCAGCACACACATCACAGCCTCCAATTTACAGCCCCCAGCACCAGCCCCCAGCCTGCTGAGCACTGCCACACTCATCACACCAGCTGCACCCACCCTGCCACAGCCCACGCTGCTCGGGGTGTCTGTATTCCCAGTCCTCCAGAATGGAGGATGTGGGGATGCTGCTCTGCCCAGCAGAGGGAAAAACCTTTTTCTTGGAAACGTGGTGCCAGGGCTGGTTCCTTGCACGAACAGGGCTTGGCCAACAGGACTGAACCAAAGGGCCAGTTTAATGCATCATGAGCCATAAAATGCCCCCCCTACCGAGCCCTGCCCACAGACCCCAGTGGGGTCCCATTACCCTGAGCATCCCTCCAAGGGCACCAGCACACAGGGCTGCAGGTTTGGGCAGTGCCCAGAAACCCTGTGCTGACTTGATCCTTTTTCTGACAGAACTATAAATTACCCAGCTGGGCGTCAGGATGCAAAAACTGTGCTGGGGCCAAAATAAGCCGAGCTGGGTTGCTGAGGAATTACAATTACCTGCTCCAGAGGCTTCCAGTGCATCGGGAACTGCTCAGGCGCGAGGCTCCAACGGCCAGTCCTTAAAAGAAACCCAAATAGCATTAAGGACAGAGGGAGCTGGAGACACCCATGGGTGCCCCCGTCACCAGCAGTGCCAGGAGCAGGTATTATTAGCCTCTGTCCTGAGATGGGCTGTTCAGGGGTGGAGACTGCCACGCTTCTGTGCCCTGGACGCTCAGCCCTGCCCATACAGCCAAAAAGCCTGTGGAAAGTTAGGTTTCCTTTTTTTCTGCGAGTTTTTTTCCTAAAAACAAGTCGAAAACAAGCTCATTCCTGGCAAGCGCTGGACTCCTTGCAGCTCAGGGGAGGACCAAGCCCAGGGGCCAGCAGTATCCCATCAGGCTGCACCACTGGACCACTGCCCCAAGGCTGAGCCTGTGGCTTGGTGACCAGATCAGGGCTGCAGAGTCAGTTCTGGACGTGGCTCCCTCTGGCCACCCCTCTGCTGAGGGGTCCGAGGAGCCCAGCCAGGAGGAAGGGTAGGATGGAGGGAGCTGGCAATCTGCTTTCATCCTGCTCTGAAAAGAAACACATGGATAGTTTTCTCAGCATTCGCTAGGGAGGGAAAGTAGCTTTTTAAACAGCTTAAATAAACAACTGGGCTTAAAAAAAAAAAAAAACCAACACACACACACAGGCCTGATTTCCATGCACTGCTGCAGTAATTAGGGTGCAAACCAGGCAGGCAGTTATGGATCAGCACCGAGAAGGAAAGGGCTGGGCATAAATCCCTCCCCATGAGCCCAGCATGCAGTGCCATGCATGGAGTGTGCCAGCCCCCTGGCTGCAAGCACCCCCCTGCCCCACGCCCTGTTCAATTCAACCTCTCCCCCCGGCCAGTCTGGGCTGGGACAGCTTAGGGGTGAAGCCTGAACTCTCCCACTGGTGCCCCTCACCTCTGCATCAGGCCTGGCCAGAGGCAGAAGAAAAGGCACTTCATCAAGCCCTCTCCAGCGTCTGGCTAAATAAACAGCAAAGCAGGATTGGTGCTGAGAGATGGGGGGAGATCTGCTCTTTGGTTTCTGCCTTGAGGGGCACACCAAGAGTGTGACTCTGGGAAACGAGCCTCCAGTCCATCCATGGCTCCCAGGACAGCTGGAGGTGCACTCAGGGTTTGTCCCCACTCCCCTGCCCAGTGTCACCAGCCCCTCTGGGCTGCCCCTGTGAGTGTGCACGGTCCCTGTCCCCTCACACCCCACCCAGAGCCGAAACGAGTGTGTGCCCAGAGCCCCCCGGGCCGTGCTGGGGGAGCAGGTGGGTTTGAAGGGCTCTTTGTTCCCCTGTGTAATTATACCTGAGCAGGGGAATAGAAACGTGCTGAAAACCCCTCGCTGGACCTTTCTGACAGGACCGGGGCCTTCGGCCTCACAGTGGCCCCATTGTTCCCTTCCATGGGCTGGGAGCAGCAGAGCACCTCCTGCACCCCCTGCTTCCCCAAAATAACCACCCTGGCACTAAAAACCGTGTCTCTGCCCTCCAACACTGGGCAAAACACCAAGCCTCGCCCCTGCCCAGGGCTGGCAGGGCAGTGCCCACAGGCGAGCCGGTGCCTTTGGCACTGAGAGAACACCCCTAACACCCCAAACCCTCCCACCACCACCGGGCAGAGCCATGGGGATATCCCCACCCTCGTCCATCCCTGCCCTCGCCAAACTCCACGGGGGAAAAGGGGGCAAGGGGTAGAGCAGGGAAGTAGAGGGAATAAAAAAAGGGGTGGGTGGGAGAGGGGGGAGAGGGAAAAGAAAAAGAAATGGGAAAAGGGGGGAAAAAAGGAAAAAAAGAAAAAAAGAAAAAAGAAGGGGAGGGAAATGGGGGCGGGGGGGGGGGAAGAGAGAGAGAAAGAAAAGAAAGACAAACTTCGCATCCAGCAGGATTTACCACCGTTGCTGCGATCGCAGTCCTGTAACCAGCAGGGACGCCCCCTGAACAGTTCCCTCCCCGGTGGGAGCCGGGCAGAGCCCGGGGGTCCCTGTGCCGTGCCGGGTGTGCCCAGGAGGGGGAGGCAGACACGGGGAGAGCGGGAACGGGCCGGGAGGGAGCCGGGAAAGGGGAATGTCCGGGGGATGTCGCGTGTTCAGCTGCCCCATCCCGGGAAGTGTCCAAGGCCAGCTTGGACGGGCTTGGAGCAACCTGGGCTGGTGAAAGGTGTCCCTGCCAGTGGCAGGGAGGGTGGAAGATGACCTTTAGGGTCCCTTCCAGCTCAAACCATCAAGTAGCCACTTTGGTACAGGTGACAGGCTTGCCCCCCACAAGGAAAAACAAACAAACAAACAAACAAACAAACAAAAACCCCACACCCACCCCCCCCACAAAAAACCACCACAACAACAAAAAAACACCACCAGAGTTTTGGGCATCACGACCTGCAGCAGAGCTGGCACCAAGATGGGACAGAGGATAGTGAAGGAGGAGCTGAAAGGTTACACCCCATTTTCCAGCTACCCGATGCTCCTCCAGCCTTGGAGCATTTGGGAAGGGCAGACCTGCCCCTGGGCACTCAATCACATCAGTACCTGGGAGGGTTCCAGCTATTTTCAAGCCTGGTGATGCAGATCCTCAAGGTTTTGGTTTTAAAACCAGAGCAGCACTAAGAAGAAAAACAACGGAATGTCCCCTCTTAGGTCAGAGATGAAGACCAGGGATGCACAAGGAGTTCGTGCTTCTCAGGATGCACCAGGTACAGGCAGAAGGGCCAGGGAGGGCAGAAAGGCACACAGAGGGAATGGTGACAAACCCATCCCAGGAAGTGGGGCCTTGCAAGGACAGGCAGGCAGCCAGTCCTGCGCTCCAGGGATTTGCAGGCTCCCCGTCCAGATTGCTTTGCAAAAACAAGGCACTTTTACACTGGGGGCGGTTTTGGAAAGTACACGGGATTCTTGCAGCGGAGAGACGAAGCCCAGGAGAGAAAGAAAGGGGAGGAGGAAAACAAAAAAAGACGACCACAGGTTGTTCCAAGCAGCACATCCAAGAACCTGTCACAGCAAACACGAGGAACAAGAACTGGAAGATCGCAGAGTACGTCAGTGCTGCGCTGACAAACACAGCTCCCACGGAGCACAGGAGGGCCCTGGGAGCACATGGCTCTGCTTTTCCTGGTACTGGATCTCAGAGGACCTTCGAGAGCACACTGGTGACAGGGCAGGCAACAAGCACGTGCTGCTCCCTTACCTCTGAGAGAGCCTGGGTGAGCTAGTCCCCATTTGTTTCCTTCATCCCCGCTAAGCCAAACCACCTGGAGCAGGAATTCCCACCAGGGAGAAGGGAATTAGATTTTCTCAATGATGATAATCCATTTAAACACAGCACTTCTGAGGAGCCTCAGCACTGTTCCCAGCGAGCAGCCCTGCCCTCTGCACAGCCCCCCCTCTCCCACCTGCCTGGGGAGAGAGGGGTCCTGGCCCTTGAGAACACCAAGCTGGCAGAGCAGAGGGGCTGTTTCACAGCAGTTTCCTCCACATCTTGCTTAACAGAGCAGCTGTTTTAGTCCAAAACAGGATGAAGTCACCTGTGGACTTGCTCCCAGGCAAGCAGAACAGCTCTGCCCCCACTTGAAGGCCTGCATTGGTTAAACAGGGTTGGCTTGAAACTTGGTGGAGAAAGACCCCCAGCACGTTGTTCTCCTGTCTGAGGGCACAGACACTGCTGCTGCCACCAGAGGACACGCACAGGCCTCTCTACCTCCCTCTGTCCCTTCTGGCTGCAAGGGGACAGCCCTCTCACAGTGCCATCACAAAACCCATCACCAGAGCCAGGACAGACTCACCTCAGGGTTCTGGGCTGCCTCTGCTTCACTTGCTTGGAGAAGCCCGGGGACAGTGGGAGTCACTCGAGGGTCAGACGCTGGAGGCAGCTCTGGAGCTGCTGACAAAGCCCCTTTGAGCTGCAGCCACCGCGCCAGGGCCCAGCGTGCCTCCCTTCTTGGTAAACCAAGCAGTTACACAAACACGAGCTCCTGGTTATCCAGCTCCCAGAAGAAATTTCAGATCAGAAACAGTCCAAAAAGCCAGTTTTAGAAAGTACCATTTATTTGAGGGGGGAAAAAAAATAAAAAATAAAAATCAGTAACAGTGGAAAAACCCCAAGAGCAATTACACAAGAGAATCCGAGTATCCCGAGAAGGGGACACAGCTCCTGCCTCCCTGGCAGTGCTGTCCACAGGCAGCACAGTCCTCCCTCTCCTGCCCAACCTCCAGTGACCTCTGTGCAGCTTTGAGAGCCTCCCAGAGCCTGCAGTTTCCCCGAACACACTTGTACTGGGCCCAAGTGAGTGAGTCACCCAGAGGAGCTCTCCTCTCCCACCCCTGTCCCAGCACACACTTCCCCGTGTTCCCACCTCGCCCCAAGAGGGGGCTGAACTTTTTTCGACGGCCTCTCTGGTTTTGGCCTCAAGCCTACTCTGCAAAGCCTCGGTAAAGAGCCTTCAGGAGCCACGAGATTTCTGAGCAGCCTTTGCAAGCCTCTGGTTTCGTGCTGCCTACCCAGGCATTCAGGTTGGGGACCCACGCTCTGATTTTTGTTTCAAACCACACCAGACTCAGAGCTGCAGGAGGACATGACTCACACACAGCTCTGTGAGACCTTCCTGACACAGAGGCACTGGAAACACGTCACCCTTTGCTCTGGGGGGATTGGTCCAGTCCAACTCCCACCAGAGGCAGGAGCCATCCACGTACAGGGTATGCTAAGACAGACCCACGGCAGGGGATTCAGAGCTCCTGGTGGGGAGATGCTGCCCAGGCAGAGCTCAGCTACCAGATCCAGCCTTCCACAAGAGGCAGGACTCGGCACAGCACCACAGGGGACTCTGCCACGTAGCCAACCCCCAAACATTGGGTTGGGACCTCCATACTGCAAGTTTCAAAGAGCCAGCCCAGGTGGGGATCTCTGCTCTGATTCTCGAGGATCAAACCCAGCACATCACCAACCCCAACCCTCTTCCAGGCACAGCCAGGACGTGGTGCTGGAGCCCCACCCAGGGCTGTGGCTGTTCCCAGCTCCCTTCCCCAGCCTCTCTCGTGCTTTACACAAGACCGTGGACAAACAGCAGCACAAACAAGATCAAAAGCCTCTTACACACAGTAAGGCTGCTGAAGAACTAACTCCAGCCTTTTCACTGTTAACTGTATATTTCTCAGTAAAATATATAATATATAGCTCTATAGGACTGATTGTAATATATTACAGCCTAGAAATACTCTTGTCTTTTCCCTACTTCAATCATATTATGCATCCAACTTTGCATACAGAAGTTATTGCCTTGAATTTATGGTTGAAATTCACAGAATAAAGCTTAAATAGTTTTCACAGAGACTCATTATATTAGTGTTTTACATAACAAGCATAAGAGTTACCAAATGAGAAAGCAGCCATTTCAGAAACTATAAATAATTCTATTTTTAAAAAAAATCCTAAAAAAAAAAGTTATGAGAAAACCATAAATATCTTTACCCTCTACAGTAGCTGCTATAGAACTAGAAGAAACCTGTAACACACTGTAGCTAACTCTGCTTCAGTTCAGAATATGAATCATATAAAACAGCATCTCTAGACAAATGCCCGGCCAAAGGAAACACAAAGGGATTGAAAAAATAAATCTGAGGAAATTAAAAAAGTAGATTTTTTTTTTTTATTATTTCAAAACAATTTCTACAAACTTTATATAAACATTAGGCTATTTTCTTTAAAATTTTGTTATAAAAAAATCCTACAAGCGATCCTTTAAAAAAAGGTAAGAGGCTGAAGGCAAGGAAGGGGTGTCACCATAGCCAAACACAACTGGCTGTCCCGATTTCAAGGACTAATGACCCTTGCCTGGGGCCAACAGGAAGAGACAGAAGTCTCCTGGGGAAGACATTCCCATAGGCCCTTTATGGCATTCAGGGATTTTGAGCCCCTGTGGGCCTTTTACTCCCTGATAAGGCAACATTATCTTGTAGTGTAAGAGATTCATAAATAGTTCTCCACAAAAATGCTTCACATCAACAGACTGCTGCAAGACATCTAGTAGCAAGATTTATAAAAAAAAAAACAAAACCAAAAGCCATCTTCTATAGAAGCAGCCAATCCCAGCACGGCACGCTGGATGCAAACACATGGTGTTTGCTTCCATACAGTCTGGTTTGTGTTTATATACCCTCTATAAAACCAAGCAGAAAATTTGGCATCTTTATTCTTTTTACACTAGCTTGGGAAAAAAAAAAATACACTGAGGTTGTTTTGTTTTGTTTGTTTTTTTTCAGACTCTTTGTATTTCATTGGGCCCTTGTTAGCTGAGCGGGATGGGAAGGGTCACGAAGGAAGTTTGTTGTTGTGTTTTGTTTTTTTTTTTCTCTCAAAGTCACTTTGAAATTCAATCCAAAAAGAGCATTTGTTCAGCACATCTCATCTGAGGGCACAGTGTTTCCATACAGTTTGTTTGTCCATTGTGATTGAGCTTTAAGCATAGAACTCGTTTGAGGGGGCTTTCTTGTAGATGGGTTTCTTCCCCAGGTCGTAACTGCCCTCGTCCTTTTTCTTCATGCGGTAGACCAAGAGGAGGATCAGGAAGATGGCAAACAGGAGGCCCACTGCTCCTCCTGCAATGAGGGCTGGGGAGGAAAAAGAGCATAGAATAAGTCAGCTACATCTCAAAATCTGCTTCAAGAGTACCAGCCCCCAGAACTGCCCCCAGAGTCAGTGTCCGTGTGCCTGTCACCACATGTGCTGGCACTTCCAGCAACAGCAGATGTTACTGGGAAAGGCCAGAGACTGCTTCCAATCCAACCACAGAATATTCACATGTTCCACATTAACCAGTTTGTGCTAATCTTCCAGTTTAGTCCTAGGAAGAAGTGCTGACAAGAAGATATCCTCCCTGCACAGAGACAAACCTAAAAAAATTCCACCAGAAAGAGCCCCACCACGACCCACAGGAAAATGGTGTAGCTCCAATCTGAATGCTTTGTTAACCCCCTGTGTGAGCACACCCTGGGGACTCTGGATGTTGTTGATGAAATGGAGTACAACTACCAACACCACCCCCCTCCAAAAAAACCCCAAAACCGCTGCCCCAAAACCCAATACCCACAAACCCGCTAAAAACCACCGAGATTTCCTCTCTCCTCACACCAAGGGTGGCCAAAACACTTGACTGGTTTATCCTTTGCTGTGACACCTACTCCTTGCACTAAGTCAGCTTCTTGGCTAGATGGCTTTGCAAGCCACTCTTCCAGTCTCTTCTCCAGCTGGAAGGATGGCTGTGGATTGACACAATGCTTGTGTCAAAGGTTTGTATCTGGACCATCAGGCCAAGTGCCTGAAGCAGCAGTGTGCTAGAGACAGCCCTTTCCTCCTTGCTGAAGGGGAGTCAATCTCTTGGTTTTGCTCTAGACATCAGCACTCAGATTCCTACAGCTGGCCAGGTGTTCAAATCCCTTAGAGGGCTTGCTTGGCTCCTGAAGAGGCAGGACTCGGGCAGAGGTTAGAAGGAACATGCCTGTATTTGATATGAAAGCCCATGATGTCACTGGTTTACAGCCAGGAACACCTCTTGTTGAGGCAGTATCTGGGTGCAGAGCAGCTGCCACATGACTTAAGCCAACAGTCAGCTGGCAGGCTCAAAAACAAGCTGTTTACCCCAGCAAGGCAAGCAGCAGGCTCTGCTGCTGTTTAAGGACTTGGAAGCAGAAGTCACCCTGCTACAGGTAACCACAGAGGCAATGAAACTCATTCCCCTTGTCAGCAGGGAGCTGCTCCCCAGAGAAACAGGGAACAACAGCAGGCATTTTGGTTTTCAGTATTAATGATTTATCAGGAGAAGGTGGAATATTACCTGTAAGGACTTCTGTTCTTTCAAAGATGCTGCTGTTGGCTGTGCTTGCCATGGAGATCTTGTTGGACAGGTTCTCTTCGACAGGTACAGCTTTGTCTGGAATGATTTCATTGTCCACCATCGTGTTTTTCTTCTCACCTTCTATCTTTCTCCCAGTATCTCCAGGGATATAGTTGTCAGATATCTACAGAACACAGACAAACCACACCCTTCAGTAAGCAGCACCCAGCCTGAAAGCAGGAGGGTGTGCAGGGCACACAAAGTTTGCTCAGTGCATTATGAGCACACTGTTCCTGCTCCTGCAGGTGGATTCGTGCTGAGGACACGTCTTGCAGGGGGGGAGGGTGTCCAGGAAGTTTTACAGACAGGCCAAAGGAGCCACATGTTGCTTAAAAACACGCAGGGGCAATACCTACCAGAGGAGTATCCATGGTGGTCAGATATATGCCTTCTTCAGAGTCCGAGTAGTCTGCAGAGGGGGTAAAATAAAATAGAGAGGACTAAGTTTTGTTCTCATTACGTGCCATTTTCCCAAAATTCACACTTCCTATAATACCAGCACCTGCAGACAAACTAGAATTCTCATCCTCTACAACTCCCTCTTATCTACTAGTCCTTTTATCATAAATGACTTTGATTGCACAAGACCATGAGATGTAACCTTGGACCCAACACCTCTTATGGGAGGGGTCTCCAGCTGGATCCACTGGCCCCAGCAGAGCAGATCTGCCACAGCTTACCAAGGTAATGCCAATGGAGGGCATTCCTCCCACAGCCCATCCCTGAAGGATCATTCACCAACCCTCCAGATCTGCCCAAACATGTCAGCCACCCATTTCAGCACTTGTTCTTTTGCTTTTAGAGAACAAATGCTCACATAAAGGGGCACAGAGCTACAGAAACTGGTTTGGGCAGGGAGCTTTGCATGCCACTGAGAGTTCACTTGAACACCAGTTAGTCCTTTACCTTGTTTGGCCTCAGCTGAGATATTAACTCTAAGCCTTTTAATACTGCCTCAACAATAGATTTTTTTTTTTTTTAGTTTCTCAGCAGTTCTTTGGAGTTCAACAGGAAAGAGATCCAGCCAGTGCAATGCCTTTTCACTTGCAGCAAGACAAGCTTGGCTACACTCCATCTGTCCTCCCCAGGTGATTCAACATCACAGCACAACCACTTTCACTGTTCTCATCTGAGTGACTACAATTCACGAGGCTCTCTCATCTCCACTTGACACTGTGGTTCCTCTGGAGCTCTGGCTGTGCACTTAGCCCATCACTCATGGGCTGGTGCTGAAAGAAATTTCCCAGCATCAGCTGAGGGGGATCCCTTTCCCCCCTTCCCTACTTACCTCCAGACCCAGATGACTCATCTATATCCAACCCATCAGCAGTGAAGTGAGGCCTGAATTCACCAATGTCTTCATCATCTGGCAAGTCCCCAGAGGCAGGGTAGTCAAGCCATCCAGCATCCATGGTCTCAGTTTCTCTGACCTGCAAAGGGGCGTGGAAAAGCGTGAAATATCAGGCAACTCCTCAGAAGCATTTCACAGAAGGTTCCGAGCCTGTGCTGAGCACGTCACTTCCACCAGAAAAGCATTAAATGCTGAACTTCCTCTCCACCAAAAGCATTATCTTTATCAGCCTGAATATCAGCTGAATTCCCCTAGAATTTCTCAGAACAGAAGTGAGAGCCAGCTTGGGAGGGGAATTTCCTGAGCACTACAGATTCAAGAAGTTCACCTAAACACACAGGGTGAAAACAACACAACAGGATCTTGGTCAGGAGTTTGTAGCAAAAGCATTTGGAAAAGCAATACCTTGGAAGGACTTGCTATTCCTGGGGAAAAAGCCCGGCACCTATAGGTCATTTTTTTTTTTTTGCATAACACCAAAGCCTCACAACCAAGGCAATTGCTCCCTTGTTGTATTGAGAACAAACCCATTTTATCACCCAAGGCTTAAAAGCTGGTCTGTCAGTTCAGCTGAACTGCAGAGCAATACAGTGTGACGTTCAAGAGCACTCACTATCAGTAATGACTCGCCTGAAGGAAGAGCTTCCCCTGCCTCACCTCTTAAAAAGCATGTAAACAAACAAGCCTGTAAAATATGTCCGGGATCCAAAGGCCCAAGGAGTGCAGCAGCTACAGCACAAAAGCTGGAGAGCCTCCCAGATATCAGCTGTTTGGCCACAATGGCAATTTGCACACCAAAGCTCGTTTGCACTTGGGACTTTCAAGGAGCCACAAGCACAATCCTCCCGCCCTCACCAAGGTTATGCAACTTCCCAGAACTATTTCTCCTCACCCTACAGCCCCGGGGCCAGCCCCGGTGAGGGTACCGCAGGTATGAGGCTGGGATTGCTCAACATCAGCCCACAAGATTCCAGGTGCTTCCACAGCCATGAAATCATCCCCGTGGAGGGGGACTCAGCCCCTTCCCCTAAGGCAAGAGCACAGTGCAGACCGATGGGTCCCATAGCCGGGGGCTAAGCTGGCAACATTCTTTCATGATGTCCTCACAGAACGCCTGGGAGGACTGGGATGTCTTCACAAAGGTTTTATCTATCCAGGAAAGTATTTTTAAAACATCACTTTACATCCAGGGGACTTTTCTCTCAGCGTACAGGCTTACCATGAGCTCCAGCCTGAGAGGGGTGAGGAGGATCAGAGACTGGGGGCAGGCAGAGCTGCTGGGATCAGCCCTCCTGCTCCCCTGGCCAGGTGTGGCCCATCCCACAGCCCAGCAGTGACAAGACTGATGAATTACATCCGCTATCGATCTCACAAGCCAAGGCCAACAATCAGCCACAAGCCACGTGTCAGCTTCTTTTGCCCACAGCCCAGCCCTGACTCCAGCCCCATTCCCCTGCCCCTCAGCACGTTTGTACACTGGGTTTGCCACAGACATGGTTTTGTGGCCAGGCCAAGATGTTTCTCATTTTGCACCAGGAGCAGTGGCACTAGATGTGCTTTTCCTTTGCTTATGGAGGCATTTTGGGTCTCCCCAGCGACTCTGCTGCACGAAAACCAGAGAAACAGCCCAGGGGGCATGAAATGCTGAGGCCAGTTCTCCTCCCAGAACCATCTCTGCGATGCCAAGCCTGGCACTAGGTGTGGGGAAGGGGGCTGGGAGGAAGGTCAGCCTGGAACCAGGCATTCCTAACGTTAGGGATCACTCGCTCCAAGGGAAATTCATTTCAAGATATGCGAAAACCAGCCAAAGCCAGCCCTGCAGTGGGAACCGCTGCCAGCATGCAGTAGCTGTTCCCAGGGCAGCTCCTGGCCACTTCTCCCCGGCAGGAAGAGCCCAGTTCCCAATCTAGGGCACGGGGAGCACATTTGCTGCAGACCTGCATAACCTGGCTGCTGCACTGGGCAGACTGATGTTGGCAAAAGTGCCGTGCTGAGCCACGCCCCGGTGCCAGCTCACCCTGTACCTCACCATGAGTCACGGCCCGCAGTGTCCGAGCGAGGGCAGCTCAAGAAAAGCCAGGTTTAGTCCCCCAGGTGGGTGAACAGCCCACTGGCCATATCAGATGAGCCCAGCCAGCAGCAGGGCAGGGGCAGACAGCCACAGCCATCGGTGCACGCTGTGGAACGCACCAGGCCTGGCTGTCAGAGCACACTACTGAAATCAGGACAGGCAGTGTTTACCAGCACAGGACATAAGGAAATTACTGACTCACAAGCATAAATAAGATTATATGGGAGCGTTCCCTGAACTCACTCTTCATCATCCTCTTGAGCAAGGATGGGGAAGTTCCTGGAAGCCACAAGAGCTTCTCAAATGGTGCAGGAAACTTTTTCTGTGGGCAGTGAGCCTCACGTTCCAGATTCATCTGCCAGGGAAGTCAGAGGGCTGCTGGGCACCTCCATAATTATCCTCCAGGTTTCAAGGCATGTATTTCTAGGAAGCAGGCCCTAACTGGGAGCTGGGGCACGGGCAGCCTGGGAAGAGTTAACACTGGCGTGTGGTGCTTGAAGGGCAGGTCTGGAGCAGGCACATTCCTCACATACACACCTGTGAAAAGGCACACAGGCACTCTCACAGACTTACAAGCAGGGGCTGCAGGCTTCCCAAGCGCCACATAAAGAGCTCCCTGGAGTTCTTTGCTTAATAAAAGCACCCCCCTCTCCAAGAGCACACAGTCCTCCCTACAGCTCTGCCCCTTGAAGGGGCACTGCGGAAGGCGGCCGCGCTTCCTCTGGGCTTGCAGGCTGCAGCCAAGAGGAAAGAGCTCCGAGACTGCCACAGGATGATGGTCAGCCCTTGCCAAGTCATCTCTGGCCACATTCAGCTTAACACCCTCTGCAACTGCCAGCTGGAGGAGGACACCAGCGCTGCTCAGAGTCTGCTTTCCTCCACCTGTTGTCCCAGGACTGGAGCCAGGCCAGGGACTTGCTGGGAGAGTCGGACTGGGCGCCTGCACAGCTCCACCTCACCCTGGCAGCTGAAGGCAAGTCCTACTATTAATATGCTCCTCTCTAGGAGGGGTCTGTATGAAAATCAACCTTTCCTGCACGAGTCTAGTTCCATTTTTCTTCCTCATGTTAAGCAGCTTTATCCCCAGTAAGCACCACGGGAGATTAAACAGTGTGCTGGAGAGCAGAAGCTCTGCCTGCCTGCCAGTGGCAATAAATAAATAAATAAGTAAATAAATTGATTTCGTGCCAGACAACCAGCACGTGAGGCACGTGAACTATGAGCATCATTCCTGGAAAAGCTGGGCACAGAAATCTCATGTTTGAGCCCAAGGCAGGCTGTACTACTGGATGAAGCCAGACACTGTTTGCTCGGTGGAGGCACAAGAATCACACCCCTGGCACCCCAGGCAGCCCTGCTGTGCTCCATTCCTAGCCCACCTCGCTCCATTTCATGCTCCTGGAGCCTTCCCTTACAGCCCCAGGATACCCTTCATCTCCTCTCAAAGCAAGAGCATCTATTTATCGAGGCAGCAAGCAAAGTTTGTGTGCAATGTGTGAATTTCCCCAGCCTCTGGCGAGTTCTGGGAAATAACAAACGCAGGCAGCTCGCCTGCCCCAGCCCACATGTCCTCACCACAGCCTTTGCAAACCCTTTCAAAAAACAACCAAATGATGTTTTGGGGCAGAGACAAAGTTTTCCAGACGTGGAACTGGCTTTTACAGCTGGCCCTTGTCTCTGATCAAACACAGAGTGCGTTAAAAGCTCCTTTGAAGGGTCACAGCCAGCAAGTTGCAGAGGGAGTCAGACCTGCAGGGACTGGGGCATCCACAGCGCACAGAGCTCTTTATCAAGTTTATTATTTTGGCATGGAGAGCCAGTGCTTGCTCCTGGTCTCCCTCCCCAGCACTGTGTACACAAATCCAGGAGTAAACAGGAGCAAGGTGAAAGTCAACCTTTCCTAGACAAAAGCACGTGGAGCTGGGCCAGCCTGGGAGGTGGCAGGAGAGGGGGCAGAGGCACAGACCTGTTAACTCTTTGTAGCCTGCAGGGACAGGCAGGTGCAAGCTGCTCCCAGGGCTTTTCTCAGGCGCTCTGTACTCAGAGACAGTTCTACAGATCACCTCATTTCACTTCAGCAAGCAGGGCTGCACAAAATACCTTTCCCAGACCTGTCATGGACAGATGTCACCTCAACACCACCACATGGCACACCCACATCAGCTCAACCAGCAAGGGCTCCTGGACAACACCAGCAGCTGCCCGGATGGCCCAGCCTCAGAGCCTGGTTATTAAGAGATCATTTGCAAAGCCTCCTCCCCTGGGTCTTCTGCTGTCCTGCATCATGGACCAAAGAGCACAGGATCCAGCAGGGCCTCCCCAGTGCCAGGATGCAAAGCTCTGTAAACCACCCAGCCCAAGGGAGGGGATTTCCATCCAGTTCTCTTGCACCGAGCTCTTGCAGGAGCTCACAAACCAGGTGGGTTTTCAGGCTCACACCAAGCGTGCAGAGGAGCAGGGGTTGGGAGTGAGCTCACCCCCCCTCAGAGCCCACCAGCCCCCCAAAAGCAGCAAGGCAGAGGAGTCTCACAAGCCCTGGAAACTGGGCAGCTCAAATCTGTGTGAAACAGCCAAATAAAGCTGATCTCCACTGAGGGAGGTGTGCAGTGAGACAACAGGCAAAGACAGCTCTATCCTCCCATCTGAATACGCATTTAAAAACGTTATCAGAAGTGACAGGCGCTTCCAGCAACAGCTCCCGTTGGACTAGTAAGGAAAGGGTCTATACATTCCCCCAAAATACCCTTCACTCCCTCCGTGCTCCAGCTCTGTTTAGGGGAAAAAAAATAATTATACAAAAGTCATGTTAGCCCTGAGAGCAAAGCAAACATCAATATTTTGTTCTAGGTCACACCTAACTCCTTCAAACACATCAGCCAAGTAAAAAAGGTAAAAAAAAAAAAAAAAATCCACTTCTCCCAGCTTCTTGTGCTCATGCCTGGATGTACCATTTTACCACCCATTTCTGGTCAGTCTGTCCCACATAACTCTCAGCACACATGGCCTGC